TTATGATTTTGCATACAATAGACCAGCCATTGCGCCTAATCCAACAGTAGTTACTACAAAACCTTTCCAAAAGTAGTCTGTAGGATTAAAAAAATACTTCATTAGTCCATCCTAAACAGAAAATGTTTATTATTTTTTACATAGCTTATATATCTTTTTTAAATTTTATGTAAACTTATACTTCAGAATGGATTATGATATATCCAAGAGAAATTTTTATAATATTCAAGAGGAATCACAATTCCTCTTGAATATTTTGGCTTTCTAAATATTGTTTACTACATTTAAGCCCTTTAAATATTTTATTTCATTAATTAAAAACGTAGAGACACAATAAAATGTAAATAGACTGATAGGGATAATTGTAATGTAATGTAAATGTAAATAGACTGATTGGGATAGTGTTAGATTTATTTTATTTTTAAATCTATTATCTTTTCATAATATAATTTCTTTGAATATTCAAATTTATAAACAGATACATAATTAATTAGCATTTTATAAGAAAATATATAATTAAAAAAATGTATGGATGTAATAAAATTTTTGTTTATTTATCCAAGCAATAAATTCTAGATCATATGGACATAAAATGAAACTACTGACATAAATCTTTATGGGGATACAGATATAAAGAGCAAATGATGGCTCATTTTGGTTTTGAAATCATTTAAGTATGAATAATAGAGATCTTATAGGATAAAAAAAAAAAACTATTTTATTACATAATTTAAATAAAATCATGTTTACATTCCTTAAATATTGGTGGTAAAATTTGTAAATGAATTTTAGGAAAAAGTGGAACACCTTTTTTTACAAGGCAAATAAAACATCCTTACCCATGCACCATTAGCTTCAAACCATTTCCTATTTTCATAGATAATTTCAGCAGTAGTTTCTACAATTAAACATACTTTGTCTGACATCGATTCATTTTTATAACAATGTTCACTGACTATCATACAAACGGCTAAAATCGAAGTTATTCTTCCGAAATTAATTGAGTCTTTCAAGACATTTCTCAAAACGATTTTTATAACTTCTTTAATGTTATCTCTTGATATATTTAGTTCATTTGTCAAATTATTAAAAAAAGTCTCATGTTTACTTACCAGCTCCAGACATAATTCAAATACTTTTTCTCCTATTTTATTATACTTTTGCTGAATACCTATACGTTTTTTAACAACATATGTTGCTACTAATAGACTGTCTATATATGTTTTCGATAATTTTATTTCATTGTTCAATGTATTTTCAATATTTTTTTTATCACATGGTTCAACATTTTTGTTACAAGGTGTTTCCAGATTGCATAATACGTTAGAAAAAGAATTCGTTGTCATCATCTCTTTTCTGTTTCTCTTTCTACTTTAACCTCAGCCGAGTAAAACGTTAAACGGCAATTGATACCCGTTTATACTCTTATAATACAACTCTTGATTGGTTGTTTTAACGATGAGGTCGTGAAAAATCAATAACAATAGTCAGGGGGTAATTTTTTAATTATTACTTTCAAAGTTCATAAATGTGACAGTCATATGGGGAATTTTTGCATTAGAAACATAAACTATCACACATTAATAAAAAGATTTTTTGTATAACAAAGTGTTCCAAAAAGTTTATAATGTTTTACGGATTTCTATCATTATTGTACGATTATAAATGTTGAAGATTTTACGTCAAAAAATTCAGCTTTTTATTCATAACTATTTATCGAGCTAATTTTAAATTTTTAGATTAATACATTTTTTATGGTAAGTTAGGGAAAATATTTAAATTTGCGTTCTCATGATTTTATCATATGAAGTTATCAAAATTAATCAAATTAATTTTGTCTTACAGATTTTGAAGAAACCTTTATTAAACTTTTTTTATACATGATTTATGCCCCCATTTGTCATTTTGAAATAAGTTAAGACAATTTTGGTATACTTATAGTACTGCATGTTTTCAAGTTTTTGTTATTTTTTTAATGATAAAAAAATTAGTTTCTGTATTACTTATCTTTTTAATACTTAAGATAGCCAACATGCTTAAGATAGCCAACACGTTGCCTTCAAGATAAAACGCACATTAAAAATTACTTTAGCAGTCGCTATAGTTACTTAATAGTTTTAGAGATAATATAAATGTTTTTCAGTAATTTATCCCTGACAACAGCAAGATATTTGTTTGAATTGACATTTGATATATTTTTTTAATCATATGTTGGTTTTTCATTTATTTAAGTTAGTTAAAACTTACTATTTGATAAAAGATTTTTATAGCACATGACAATATTTGACGCCATATAGTTTTAGCAAGAAGTCTTTAATATTTTATTTGTCAACAGTTTTTCTCATTAACGCTCAACCTTATTACGTTTTGTAATAATAAGTTGTTATAATAATACTTGTTGTTTTACTTGACGTTTAGCTTTGAATTTTATCAAACCCGATTGCTTTTTTATTACGTAACTTAAAACGTAATTAACTTGCGTCAAACGTGAATCAATTTGTTTCAAGTTTTTATTCACGTAAAGCTGGCCAATTAATAAATGAAATGCTTAATTTTACATGAATAAAAACTTCTGCAAAAATTCTAAAGTTTTTATTCAGTAAAACTGACCAATAACTGAGTAAAAGCTTGGTGAATAAAAAAAGCAATTGCTTTTTTTATTCACCCGGCCCTTAAGTATAATATTAGTCTAACAGAGTCAAAGGTAAGTAGGCATGGAAAAATTCAAACATCTCTTACTCAAAAATTGTAATAAATAAAACCAATCAATAATAGTAATCACAGAGCGTTTTTAAAATGAGTAAAATAAGGAAGTGTCGTTTACTACAGATTGTTCCCAGATTTCGTGTTTTTGATAATTTTACCCCCTTTTAACATTGACGCTTAATACATAAGCAAAGCGACACGCTCAATATTGATGTCCTATTCAGTGGCAATTAGTTCCATTCAATACTTTGATAAAGTACCGAAAATCGGAAATCCTTATATATGCTTCGTATTAATTTTGCCACTTAAAGTCAATTAAGAAGTAACATTTAAAATTTAGCTAACTAAAAGTAATTTAACAGCTACCATAGTAACAATTACTATATTAACAATTACTTTAGTAATCATTACATAAAAAAAATTCAAATGATAAATATATAAAAATTCAAGTAGAATATAAGAAAATAGACCTGAATAAAGAAATAAAAAGTTTTTTTAAAAAACGGGTGTACAACATTTAAATTAGGTTTACATTCTAAATTTTAGCAAAAAATAAAATTCTAGAGTGAAATATTAAATTCCATTGGTTAAAATAAAAAACTGAATCTTTCATTTCACAATAATATTTTTAACACTGTAAACCAGGAGCTTGAAGAGTTACAGATTTATTGTGTTAAAAATGTTTGAAAACCTTTAAATGTTTATATTAAAAAAATTGAATTAAAAAAAGCAAAAAATCTGTGAAATTTCTAGCAGTAATGCTAGAGAGTATATTAGCTGGAAAGAGCGCACTAAGTTATTAAAAATTGATAAAAAATAACACTAAGTAAATTTTAAACAAAGTATGTTTAAAAACTTTATACTTTTGTATTTGTTCATAGCTACATTAGCTACCGCAATGTTTCCTGGGCAAGTACTTACGAATAAAAACTAGGTTAAGCCTATAAAAAACAAATGCAAGCATGCCTTATATTAACAAATGCTAATAGATATGCTAGTACTAAATAAATAATGAGAGAACTGAGAGATTTTAATATTTACGAACAAAGCATTTATAGCATTCTTAAATTTATGTTTCAACTAAAAAATTATTTAGCCCCCAAAATATTCCATAACTATTTCAAACTTGTTGATCACAAATACGAAAAAAAATATTTTATGCAGAACTACTAAATTCCGAAAACTTCTTTGAGAGAATGCAAATTGTCAATACTCGGAAGAGAACCACAATTGGGCAACACATTTTTTACAAATGGTAAACTCAACGTTTTAAATACAATTAAAAATTAATTGTTAAACAACAATTACTTAAACATTACAAAAACTCTTATTTTTTAACTTTCACACAGCTAGAAATATTTTCATAAATATAATAACTGGAAATGGCTATCTTTATAAAAATCTAGTCAGCTAACTATTTTGGGTTATTTTTATTTTTTTTCTTAAGTTGATTTATGTGCCCCAAGAAGTCCTTACGGTCTTATCACAGAGCACCGCGGAAGAGGATTTAATAGGAAGTTCACGCCTCCTTCCCAACCGATGTCGCAAAACTTGCTCAGAAGTGGGGTTTGAACCACGGACCTTACGTTTCTGAGGCAAGTGCGCTACCACTGCGCCACGGCTGCACCAGTATTTACATTTACTTTAGTTATTAGGTTTACTTGGCTACTTTATTTATACTGGTAGTGCAATATATATTAGAGTGGTACTTAAGCAACATTTTTTATAAATGTCTGCTCTCAACGCCTAAATGTGTTTTATATAATAATGTAACACTGAATTTAAAAATTTTTTGAATAAAAAATATTTTTAGGGGGCATATTTAAGACCCTTAAATATCAAAGGTCCCTAATATTATCAAAAATATTTTTATTCAAAAGTATATTAAAAAAAGGTCTAAAAAAAAGCTAAATTATATAAAAAATGTATAAATAATAATTACTTTACATACAGGTTTTTAATTTATACTCTGTTGTATTAAAACTATGGTTTTTAAACATAAAATAAAATTATTAATTTTCTCACGCTTTTCTTTAACAATTTTAAAATTTTTTTGGAGATGTTTACATAAAATATGATTATTTTTTTGAAATTTTTAAATAACTTTTTTTTTATAATATTAGAGACCATTTTGATGTTTAAGGGTCTCAAACGATCCCTAAAATTACATTTTTTCACAAAAATGTTAAATACAGTATTATTTTATGACACACTTAGGGGTTGAGAGCATACATTTTCGAAAAAAATTATTTTAAAATATATATAACAAATATTTTATAACTTGTGGTTATTTTAAACTTTATTGATTTTTTTTATTGATATTGATTGTAAAATATAACTGAAATTTACGGGACAAGATGAGAAGAAGAAGATGATGATGAAGAACAATACAAAGATGAGAAGAAGATGATGAAAAATCTTCTTCTGCTTGCTCTAGTCATACCTTTTAAAAATTTATATCAAACATAACGAAGAAGAAAAAAAAAATAAGTACAAATAAAAAATAAAAAAATGTATATAAATATAAACTCTTAACTTAAATAGTATACAGAGAAAAAATCTGAAACTTTATTTATTAGGTGTCTCCTTCTTTACTAATGTCACTTATCTGGCCAGAACCAGTAATGATTCTTGGACCTCTTGGTTCTGAGCCAGAACTCTAAGCACTGAGCCAGAACTCTAACCACGTCAAAGACTACATACCTAAATCAAATATATCTCTAAATTTAAATCTAGCTAGGTTTAGATTTTTTTTTTTTTTTTTAAGTGTAATTTATTTCGCCGTTAAAGAATGTTTACATTGCATATACATATATCAAAACTAATGGCAGGAGCAAGAAGAAGGCACATTTTGCCTTATCGCCAAGCTCCACATATAAAAAAAAAAAAAACTCTACATAAAAAAAAACTCTACATAACCGTAACATACAAATGTATATAAAATAAATATATAAAATATAGGTAAGAATTAAAACAGAAAGTAACTGAGAAAATTAAGAAATTCAAAATAGCAAATAACTAAGAATTGTCGAAATGCTAGCAACCGCTAAAATGTTTTAAAATCATTTAAACAAAAAGTTTTAAATAAGAATAAAATTTCATAATTAACATTACCACAAGATGAATTTTTAACATCATTACTTAAATTTGATTGATATAAATAAATTTGTTTTTATTTGATTAAATTTTAAAAGAAACATTTGAAGTCAGATAAATTAAGATCCCTGAATAGTAATAATTGTTTTGATTCATTTTTAAATTGTTCTAATGTAGTCTTGCTTTTGTTGACAAACTCTGGGAATTTTTTCCACAGATAAGGTCCGCGATATTTAATTGAATAGAAGGTTAATTTTAAGTTATACTTGAGAAGAACAAAGTTGTTTTCAGAAAACTTTGTTGAATATTTATGATTAATTTTATTAAAACAGGTTTGAAAAATTATTGGGGACAATCCCATTTTCGTTTTAAACATAAACAATAAAACTTGGTGTAAATTGAGTTTATACACATTTAAAGCACCGAGTGCACGTAAAAGTGGTTCGCAAGGAGTATTTCTGCAGGCTCCAAACACTATTCTGCATGCATGTTTTTGTTTGTTGTAGATTTTCTTAAGTTTTGTATAGCCAGTACTAGCCCACAC